CCCTTCTATAGTATTAGAGAAAACTATTGTATCATCTGTATACCGCGGGTTATTGAGCTTGACTCCATTTCTTGAGATTCCTTCATCAATATCTTTTAGGGTCTCTTCAAAAATGTGGCAAAAACCAAAAAAAAAATTTAATGTTTTAACTCAGTTCAGACCATATCTCGTACGTACTAATAGTGTACGCAAGATATACGGCATAGTTCTGACGGCGAGATAATTTAAAACTCTGCTAAACCCGTTAACCTTCCAGAATGTAATGTTCGTATACAAATGAAGTAAATTGTAAAATAACAACGAATAGTTTCAACCAGGGTGGTTTTGCCGAGGGTGAGTTTGTTACTTTCTGCGTCACAAGAATATTAGCCGACTTTATTTTAGTTATAACTTACCTTAATTTTCATGCAAATCACTTTTACCAGTGGTATCTTAATTTTAAAGGTTCTTTTTATGATCTTTAAAACAGTTTGTTTCCGCTTATTCAACTTCATGTGTTTGAATTTCGAACAGCCATAACTTTGTTAATATTAAGTCTACGATGATAATCAAAAACCGTTTAAAATCATACTTTTTTGACTTCTCAAAAATTCTAAAGAACATTTTTGTCTTAAAATTCACTATTCTAGCGACTACCATAGTTTTTGTTTAATTTTTCGCCCCCGAGTTGGGATGGTAACCACCCCCAGAAGAAAAGCACATGTTGCCGTAGGATGGATTTTGATCTTTGAGCTATTTTTAACTATTTCCAAAATTTCAAGAGAATCGATGTATATAAAAAAAATCAGGTTTTCTACTATTTTTACCGTCATATCCTGGACTAAAGACATTGGTACCAAATTTTAGACTGAAGTGTAAATTAGTCTTTTGAACACAAAAATCGATCACTTTTCACTTGAATGTGCGAATATCACCCCAAAAAACGAAAGAAATTAAATCGGAACTCCAAAGACAAATGACAGAAAGTGAATCAATTTACACTCAGAATATGAAAAAACCTTGAAATCCTGTCAAAACTATAGTATAGCAATGCACAGAAAAGTTTGTGGAACAAGACAAGCATAAAGCCAAAAAATCCTGTATGACAGAGATACTGATATGGAAGCATAAGAATTGCATGACTCTCGTTATTTTCTCAAAAAAATTAAATGAAATCAGATGGACGTTTAGAACAAAAAACATTAGTTCGATTAATATTGTTCTGAAGCTGTTTTATTGTACCATATTAATACAGTTTACTAGTTTTATTGGGAATAAGCCACAATTTGACTTTAAAATAAAATTATTTTAAACTAAAATAGTGGCTTCTTGCCAATATAGATAGCTCAATTAGTAACCGCAGCAGATTTATAATCAACCCTCAAGGGCTGTGCAACACTTGAAGAACTATATACAAGACGTAATGAAAATCTTGTGTGAACTTATCAACAAAACTTGTGACAGCGGACATATTCCTAGGGAGTGGCTTCAGTCAACATTAGTTGCTATTCATAGGAAGGAAAATGCCAATAATTGCGAGGAACAAATCATGAGCCACGTTCTTAAAAAAATTTCTGAAAATTATTCATCAAAGAATATATTATAAAAGATATGAAGAGGTTAGTGGAGAATCGCAGTTTGGTTCGCAGAGAAAAGATGTATTCGTTTTATCGACTACCAAAAGGATTTCTATAGTCTACGTCATAGTCTTCTTATTTTTTTATCGCCATTCTTAATGGCGCAGGTATCGACGAAAAAGAAATTCGGATTATTAAATGCCTATATTGGAACCAGACGGTTATATGGAAATAAAACGTAATTTTTTAATATTGCTCCAAAACGGTTTAAAACTTTTTTATGAAAATTTATATTATGTGCTATCATGCCATCGTGCATTACCAAATTACATTTATTATACTTAAAATGACTTCATTACATTATAATTGATCATAATCTTGATCAGCTGGTCAATCATCAGTTCTGTGAATTGCTTAATATCAGTCATCATTGTTAATTACAATGCTGTGTTTTAGGCGGTTGATACATGACTTGTATATACAATGATTTTTTATTAATTGTTTGTATTTTTTGCCTTTCACAGTGTATGTATTGTTTTTCTTGTTAAGTGAATGTTAATTACGATTTTTTGTAAATGCATAAATCAGCACATCAGCTAGTAATCAACATGAATTGCAAAGTGCTACACAGCCGCAATTTACATGTATAGTGAGAATTTGGTTTTAATTATAGTGTTTCAAGGTTTTGTGTAACTGTTAATCAAAAATAATAATAAATAACAGCTTTTAATAAAAAATAGGTATACATGATTAGAATATATTTATTGTTATTTCATTTTGTTAGATTATAATATTACATTAACTTAAATATTAAAAAAAAACATGCGTTCGTTATATGAATATGAAAATTGCAGTGTATGAATTATACAGTGAGAGGCAAAATTATGGATTATGTGATTATAACATAATTTTTTATACAGGGTGACCAAAAAAATTAATCTTTGAATTTAATTAATTTACTCGAGAATAATTATGTATGTAATTTACTTTCCAATTTTAATAGAATCACCATTGGATGACTGAGGTAGACACTCAGCCATCCAATGGTGATTCTCTTTACTATAACATCTGCAGTTTTGCCGGTTCTCTGTTCCGTGTAAAGAGAAGGTTGCTTGATCATAAAACAGGATTGATTACTCGATTTTTAGTATACGTAAAGCAGGCAATTCATTTGGGGATTGTCTGTCACAATTAATAATTCAACAAGGTTTGCCTACTACACAAATACGAAAAAATCTGTAAAAATAAACAGGTTGGTGTCAAAAAAAATAGCATTCAGCAGATGATTCGGTTTCTGGTTCTCTGCCATGGCTGCATCACTTGTGAGACGGACGTAAACAGCCATTTGGTCCATAGGAACGAATCGTGTTGCAAACTGCATTACATCTGCATATTTGGCTTTTTTGACGGTACAGGATTGCAATAGACAGGAATATCAGAAGAAACTGAGAGGTCGCTGTCAAGTTTCTCAAGATTTGGAATAAGTGAAAACTCGAAAGGCCAGTAGATATACTGACTTTAACACCATCTAAATGTTCATTCCTGTACCGGAAAATTCATTATTTGGAAATACGGTATATATTAAAATGTTCTTCATAGTGACCACTAAAGTTAAGGATCATATTTTGTTTACCAGAATGGAAATAAACTGTTTGGATGATTGTTTAACAAAATCAACATATTGTTGGGGGCTAAAAACGTAGTCCTTCTTCCTTAAAAACTTCTCAATAACTCCAAAGCAGTGATCACAGGTAAGAAAGCTATGTTCTGGCTCAGGAAAGTGGTCTCTTGTCAATAGACCTAGTTCTCACCAGCAAATACAGAAACTGAATCATTCCTGAGTTTTTGTTTTGCGCAGCAGCGTTATCGGAGAAAAGGGAAAAACTTCATTTTTAGGGAGTATATTTTTTATATAGTGGTACAAAAATGACACTACCTCGTTTGGTGACTTTCGAGCCGTAGTTTCATCATACATATAAAACTGTGCTTGATTTGTCTTACCAGAATGGACGCAGAAGTTGTATGTCCACAACTGGCGTTTGTAAAAAGCTTCCCCAGCAGGAATTTTTGTAAGTGGAAGGTTTTATTGGAAGTCAAAGCAGAGAACCTCCACTTCGTCGCTATGCTTGCACAATGTGGTTTTCTCCTTCAGCTCCTTGAAAAACAAATCGGCCATTAAAATTAAACAAATTAAAATTAACAAATTAATTTCATGCAACTGCTTTTCCGCTGTTAAAACTTTTTGTTCATTTTCGTCGAGGGTCACATCTTTGAGTTTGTTATCTAAGACATCACATATTTTGCACGTATCTGATCGAGGTGAGCCAAACCTGTAGTTGAAGTTTTCTTTGAAGTATCGATAGTAAAAGGCATAGGGAACTTTGGGTTTATATTTAGGATTACTAACACTTTCTTGTTCATAAAGTTTCAAATAGAGTTGATGCATCTTCTTTACATTTAGTTCTGGAGATAGAATAGAATCGACGGGATTTGTTTCTACTATAATGCGATTTGCGCCTTGGAAAGCTCTGGATGTGCATGTTCACATTTTTGAGTGTTTCGTTAGATTTTCGGTTGGGTCTATTTGTATGCTTCCCTTTGTTACTAGGTGGCGCTGCAATATCTCTGTCACGAAAAATTTGAGCAATGAGATCTACACATTTTCTTGATACAAACTCGTTAGGACATCTTACCCAGCTTATATTTTTTTCGAGTCTTTGAATAGTAGTAGTTTGAATCAACCCTCACAAATAGGTATTTTGCAAATATTTGTCACCTATTTTGTTAAACTTTTGTAAGGCAACTTTTCTTGTTTTTTCGTCCACATTCTGAAAACACTTGTATCTGCAGTTGCAGTTCGATCCAGTTAATCTCGGTCCCTTCTGTATTCCTTTCCAGTTCGTATACATTTTCTCTTCTGCAATAGCTTTTTTTTCATATTTCTTTTCCAGAGAGTGGGGTTGGCACTTTTTCTATTTTTGGTTACAGGAACAACTTGGAGACTCTTCCGTGGGTTCCATATTGACAACAGGTTCAATGTGTTGTTTTTTACAGAAGTACATTTCTTCTTTGGATGCTTCCTCCTAGGTGAAGGTCCTGCAACATCACTATTAAAACAACTTTCATCAGAGCTTTTAGGTTCATAGTCTGACTCACTAGCGCTAAACGGATCTGACTCGGTTTGCTCATTTTTACACGACGTTAAATTTTTACACGAACAATTAAACCGCATGAAAACGCACGCCACGTAGTAATGATAGCGACTAACAAGTTTAAACAAAACCGCTGAACGAATGTCGAGCTTCCGATCATTTCGTCGACCGATGGATTCGAAGCGAAGAAACCGTGATTTGACGCATCTTACCATGTATAAATTTTGCTGTACTTTAATTTGTAGTTGTTTTTGCTGTTCCATGTTATCTTAACTCGTAATTTTTATTGCAGAAGAGGAAGCATATCACTGTATGGCCAGTTTGGTAGCATCGAAAGAAAAAACGTTCATCACACAAACAAAACTTTTATACGAAGTAACGTGGAAGACTGTTATGCAAATATGCAAAAAACATGTGGTAAGTCAGTCATATCCTATTTAATTGTTGTGAAAGATTTTTTTTAAGACTTTGGTGAAGAGCTCATTAAGTACTAGTGTGTAATCGGCTAACTACACGAGTTGTATACTATAATACTTCTCTTATGAAGTATTAGGAAAAACTTATCATTTTCCGTATCAATGAAAATATAAACATATTGAAGCATGTTTAAAGTATATCACAATTATTTCCTTTCAAAATGTTATTATTTTAAGTATTATCTCTTTCAGGTGTAACGTATTAATTGAATTTATTAGTTTATCTTTACATGTATGGTATATACGTATGTGTCGCATTATTAGTACTTACCATGTGATATAATTACCCCTCTTTACTCTTTTTTATTGTGTATTAATCATGATAATGATCATAATAGTGTAGCTTTCCCGTTATAGGTCTTGTTCTTACTTCCTTTCCGTTCTCTTATTTATTAGGTTCTATATTACTTTCACAGTAGAGTGTTGCCCAAAATTTTCTTCAATTTTGTGTTCTTTTTTTATCTTACTCGCGAACAACTTGTAGTCTACCAGTTGATCCCCAAGACCCAAGACCTCTACCAGACAGAAGGCCGGGCCTCAATATCATTATTTGTATAACCGCGTAGACAATTAAGTGGCTTTTATATGTTATTTTACTATAACTCTACTTAAATATAAACAAAATTATTAAAATATATCTACAGAAATGTTTATCTTTAAGGTACCATAATATATTTTTATTTTATGTAGTTGAACCATTAAAATTCACGGTAAAATCTGACAGTTATTCATTACAAAGAACTGCTTAGGTCCTTTTATAAATGCTGAGCTAAATGGCATGAAGAAAAGTGTGTTGCGAGGTAACGATGAGCTTGAGCCAAGTTCTGGAATATTACGTTCTTCCTCATTAGTTTTGGGGCACTGTAAATTCCTGTTGGTTAACTGTTTTTTTTTTATAAAACTTGTCGCTGGTTAAATGAAATTATAATAATAATGGAGAAAAAATGCAATATTTTGACTGTAAATAAAAATAGTGAAAAGAGCAAATATAATTGTGAATTAATTGCGAGAATTAACTAGCTTTAACTCATACTGTTGTCTGTACAAAGAACATGGACTTACCCCTTGGTATATTAGTATATTTAATCGTAGCTAGTGGAGTAGATTGGTAGCGTTGACCGTCGCGACTTCATCCGAGGCAAAAGAAGTGACGTCCCGTGCTTACTGTACGCTGTCTCGGTAGCAAGTGTTGTCTTGAGATGGTCAGAAAAAACCCTCTGGCTGTTTTTATGATGGTCAACAGTTCATGGGTCAAGTGCATCCCATAAATCAACGATATTGTAATGCGCTTTTGAATGGTGACATAATTTCCAAATAACAAAAGAAAGTAAACATCTTCGAACTTACAAATATACATGTGCTAAAGCCAGTTTGACAATGAGATTTTACGAAATAACAGACAACAATATATTTTAAAGCAAATTCGTTAGAATATAACTCTCTCCTGCAATCCTCTGTGTCCTCTGCAATCGTCCTAAAAAAATTTCAGCTTACTTTTGTTTTCTTTATTAATAGTATTAAGGAAGTAATATATCTTACAGATCTCATTATAACCTTTACCAAACTTGCTTTCCGTCCAAATATAAGATTTTACTGCTTCAGCGGTCTCTGATGTATGAGATGACTCTATAACGAATATAAAATTATACAGGTACAATTAAACGTACTTATGTATCTTGATTATGTACTTTGGAAAGGAGCTACATCGTTAGAGACTTATTATTCCACATACACAGACGGTGGACTTCCAAATATAAAAAACAGCGGAGTACTAAAGGGGTGCGTTTTTGAGAAAGTGCTTTTTATTTTTTAGGTAAAAAAACTAAAACCTATTAGAAAAAAAATCATATAATTGTAAATTAAACCGGGTACTTAATTCATATCATCTTTTAAATAAGTGAATGATTGTCAATTAACATTAAAGAACATATTGTAAGGCTTTATCACAGGTTAACCCCTAAATTTCACCCGCTAGATTAGTTATGATTAAAACAATGTCATTGATTATCTTGTCTCCACTGATTTGCATGTAAATTCTGATTTAGGATATACTTACCATCCACTTAAAAAATTGGACTTGTGCCCTTGGTTGCTTTTTATTTTTTAGTGGTGAAAACGACCCTTGTTAGAAAAAAGTCATATAATTAAAAATTCAAGCAATTTGGAATTATCGGAGGCTAATCTGTGTGTAATTCTCTAAATTTGCTTTGTCTCCTGCTTTGTGTAATAGAATCATAGTAGCGTTGTTCCAGTCTGTTGGAATATTGGCGTTGTGAAGGCAGATATTGAAAAAGTTGTTTAATTTTTTCAAGTAATACACCCCCTCCAATTTTTAGTGCTTCTGATACTATTCCATCTTCACCCGGGGTTCGATTATTTTTCATTTTCTTCAGAGCTTCTTTGATTTCTGATTTTGTTATATCGGGCATTAAATCTGATCCTTGGTTTAATACCGCAGTTTTTAGTGTAATTGCAATTTATTTGAATTGTATTCACGTTTAGGCGTTCTAGTAACTATTTCAAAGTAGAATACTTTTACCAACAAAAAATGTAAGAATATCATATAAAATCTCATATAGGTGGTACGACTCTGCCTCTTTTTAAACTAAGGTATTAAATATTATTTTACTAATTTACTTACAATATACTAACGTAATTTGTAAGACAGGTACTAGTATTCCTGTTTAATATGTTTGTAAACCACATTCGTACTTTGTACAGATTGTATTAAGCCTACAATAAATAATGTATAACATTGTGTATATGCCATGCTACAGTAAATGCGTAAAAATAACTCAATTATTTTAAACAACTCTCATTAACCTGCTACTATATAATCTTCCAATTTTGCCATGGACCTCCGATTGTCAAAATTAAGGTCTACCAGTGCATTCGAAAACCTTGACCTAAAATTGAAGCAGAACTTGTTGGGTGGGTTATTAATAAAATTGGCAGTAATCATTATTGAAATTAATCGATTTATGAAATCTTTCACTGTACTGTGGCCATTCTAAAATAGTTTTAATATGTTAATATATATATATATAATAGTATATATATATATATATATATATATATATATAAATAATATATAATATATTAACATATTAAAACTATTTACAAGTACTTTTTACATACGTTTACCAAACGAGTCACAAGTACTTCTTTTTTCTTGTATATATATATATATATATATATATATATATATATATATATATATATATATAGAATGACTATGACAGATTCTGTCTCCGGCTTCTATATACCATGTAGCTTCGCCATTCTTCAAAAATTTTTAAAGTGTTTGTTTGTCTTTGTGTAGTGTATTGTTATGTCCCATTTTACATTTATGACATTCTGCTCTTGTCGGATAGGCCACATCTGACGAAATGCCCTGAGGATGATCTAGTGATCGAAAGTACTTGGACAAGATTTAATTAATACTGTGTTCGGTATTTGCCTTGTATATCATCAAAGTTTATTCATAATTTGTTCCAGTTCTTCTGGTGATGATGCCAATATAACAGTGTCATCAGTATAACGTAGGTTTTTGATTTTTCTTCCTCCTATCGTTGCTCTACCTTGTCATTTCTCAAAAACTGACGCATAATAGGGATATTATATTATGCATTCCTTTCGAACTCATTATTAATTCTTACATTACAGTATTATTTACATATAGTTTTTGTAATAAATAGATTAGATGTTCTGGTGTACCCATTTCTCTAAGTATATGCCAAATTTTATCCCTTTTTACGGTATCGAAGGCTTTGGAATAGTCAACAAAGCATAAATATGTTTCTATGTTAAACTTTCGAGATTTTTCGATAAGTTGACGAATATTAAGAATACGTTCTCTTAAGAATATGTACAGTAACTACTGCAATCTGTCGGTGAACCTTTTTTATATATGGTAATACACGTGAGTGTATTCCAGTCATTTGGCCACTTTCCAGTATTCCAGATCTCATTGCAAATTCTAAGCATTACTTCCGTCCCCAATTCTCCTATTTCTTTGAGTGTTTCAGCTGTTATTCCATCTTCTTCTTCTGCTTCTCTGAATTTGAACTTTTTAATTGCCGCCTCAATTTTTGATTTTAATATTTGAGGTTCTTCTTCGTAATTTCTTTTCTCTGTATTATTGTCTGGTCTTTGTTAGAGTAGTATTTCGCATATTGTTTTCACACCTCTGCGATACCGTCTGGGTTAGTTATGGTTTTTCCACTAGTATCTTTGATGTTGGATCCTATGTCACTGGAACTTATTGTTCCAAACAGTTACTGAAAATGAGTATTATAGATTTTTAACAGACGAGTTGCCTGGCTTGTTAGAGGATGTTCACTTGGGAATTATACGAAACATGTGGTTTCAACTTGAAGAATCATAACCACATCGTACAATAAGTGTTAGGCATGTGCTAAGTAATACGTACAGTGACAATTGGATCGTATACAGTGGTACAGACTATTTTCTTTTGGGTACATCAGGAATGTAATATATGACGACGATGAATATTAATATGAGAATGAAATATGCAATAAAACACTGACGTCTTGAGACTTGTATATATTATTTGGAAGATCTTTTCTATTGGTCTTATATTGATACAGTTTTGATTTTTATATGATCAATCATAGCATATTCATTGTAGTTCTGATAATTTTTCTAAAATCTGTACGTTTCAAAATCAAAAGATGTCTTTTTTCTAGAGAATGCTTCTGGACTGTAGTGTTTAATTTGTGGTTTGTATACTAATGTTTGTGTGCAACAATCCTTCTGGTTTAGATATTGGTGTGTTTGCCCAATATATGTTGAATTGCACTCTTTACTATTTACTTTATAAACATTATCCGACTGATGATCTTTAAACCAAATGTTACTGTATGTATATACTGAAATTGTAATTGTAACTGGAGGCAGTAATTATATAATAAAATGAAG